CTTTGCTGTGATTTTATTTTCTCTGGTGACATCTCTTTAGTCTTACGAGTGCTCCTGTCTAGAATAGTCCTTCTAGAATACCGTGTAGAGATGGTTTGTGGGAGGCAAATTTCCTCAACTTTTGCTTGTCTGAGAATTGTTTAATACCTCTGTCATATGTAAATGATAATTGTGCTGGATACAGTATTCTCATTTTAAGGCCCTTCCGTTTCATTGCATTAAATATATCATGCCATTCTCTTCTGGCCTGTAAGGTTTCTGTCGAGAAGTCTGATGATCGCCTGATGGGTTTTCCTTTATAGGTGACCTTTTTCTTCTCTCTAGCTGCCTTTAAAACTCTGTTCTTGCCCTTGATCTTTGCCATTTTAATTATTATGTGTCTTGGTGTTGTCCTCCTTGGGTCCTTTCTGTTGGGAGTTCTGTGTATTTCCGTGGTCTGATCAATTATTTCCTCCCCCAGTTTGGGGAAGTTTTCAGCAATTATTTCTTCAAAGACACTTTCTATCCCTTTCTCTCTCTCTTCTTCTTCTGGTACCCCTATGATGTGGATATTGCTCCTTTTGGATTGGTCACACAGTTCTCTTAATATTGTTTCATTCCTGGAGATCTTTTTATCTCTCTCTATGTCAGCTTCTATGTGTTCCTGTTCTCTGTTTTCTATTCCTTCAATGGCCTCTTGCATCTTATCCATTCTGCATATAAATTCTTCCAGAGTTTGTTTCACTTCTGTAATCTCCTTCTGGACATCTGTCATCTCCCTCTGGACGTCATCCCTTAGCTCTTGTATATTTCTCTGCATCTCCGTCAGCATGTTTATGATTTTTACTTTGAATTCTTTTTCAGGAAAACTGGTTAGGTCTGTCTCCTTCTCAAGTGTTCACTCTGTGATCTTTGTCTGCCTCAAATTTTGCCTTTTCATAGCAATAGAGATAGTTTGCAGAGCTGGCACAAGTGACGGCTGGAAGAACGTCCCTTCTTGTTGGTTTGTGGCCTTCCTCTCCTGGGAGCACAGTGACTTCTAATGGCTTGTGCTGGGCAGCTTCGCGCAGATGGGGGTTCTTATTCTTGCCCAGCTGCCACGGAGTTTATCTCTGCTGTTGCTGTGGGCGTGGCCTGCCGCTCCGATATGGTGGAGCCATGTTGGAGGGGAAATGGCGGGGAGGCTGTTTATCTCTCTGAGGGGCCTCTGAGCTGCCCCGCTATCCAGGGGTTTAGGGTGCCCGGATTTCCCTGCTGCTTGGCTAAGTGTCCCAGGACGCTTCCATCTGGCTGTGGAGTCCCTGTCCCTTTAAGACTTTCAAAAAGCACTCGCTTTTCTTTGTCCCTGGGGTGCCGGCTGCAGGGACCCGCTCACAGGTCTTACTGTCCTGTTTCCCTAGTTTCCAGCACCCACGCACGCAGTGTGTCTGTGCTCCGGTGTGGATGTCTAGAGCTGGGTGTTTAGCAGTCCCAGGCTCCCTCTCCCTCCCCTCTCCGACTCCTTTCCTCCCGCCGGGAGCTGGGGTGTGGGGCACTCGGGTCCCACGGGGCTGCGGGTTGTATATTACCACCTTTGTGAGGTGCTGGGTTCTCACAGGTGTGGATGTAGTCTGGCGGTTCTCCTGTGTCTTCTGGTCTCTCTTTTAGGAAGAGTTGTCTTTGTTGTATTTTCAAAATGTATGTGGTTTTGGGAGATTACCGCTGCTCTACTTACGCCGCCATCTTGGCACCGCCCTTCCTAATTACTTTTTTTTTAAAGGTAAAGCCATTTTACCCTCCCACCATAAATGTTTCTTTGCCCATATCCTCAGCAACACTGGCTATTGACTATCTTATGCAAAAATAATCTTACTGCTGTTTTCACTTGGATTTATTAATGAAGCTAAGCATCTTTTTGTAAGCTGTTATTGATCATTCTTAATTTCTTCTTGTTCTAGTCCATTTCCCCCAATTAGCCCATTAGCACTAGTGTTCTCAAAATTTTCAGGTAATCAAATCTATTTTATGATCACCAGAATGCCTGCTTAGAAATTACCTTTTCTATCCCATTATAAAATTCTCTACTCATACTGTCTTCAGTACCTTTGTTTTCATTTTTTTAATACTGAAGTCTATCCGGAGTTTGTTTCCATGTAAGATGTGAAGGACAGAGCAAGTTATTTTCCCCCAAATGATTAGCACATTGGTTCAGCATTATATAGCAAATAACCTATCTTTCCACCACCCATCTGTAGAACGTCTAAGGCACCTTCTTTTTTAAAAGTAGTATTAACACTACGAAAATAAAATGAAAGGGCACACAGTGAAATGTAAACTATTATCGACACCTAGTCTCTCTGGAGGCACCCTATTAACAGTTCATTTTATGCTGTCAGGTAATAGAGAATCCATTGCATATGCAACCATGAATCTAGGTGGGACATTCATTTTTTCTGTCTGTTGCTGTTCCCAACAATATAGCAATGAATGTTCTTATATACTGCTCATAATGCATAAATCTATAAAAAATTTTAAAAGTAGAACTGATAGGTCAAAGAATATGGACATTTAACAACTTGATATTACCAAATTGCACTCCAATGATACATCACACATTTATACTTCCACTAAAATGTGTGAAAGACTGACTAATATTTGTCAAGTTTGGGATAAATTTATATGCTCTGGTGTCCACTTTTCTTTGGAAACTTAGGCAACACAGCAGGTAACAAATCTAATGGGCATAAAATTCATTACTTCAACTCTTAACTGTAGTGTTCATTTTGTGGGTAGCATTTTTTTTTTTTTTTTACAAAAAAATGTCTTCAAAAATTTATATAATCTAGCGTTGACTTGAAACTGGGCTAAATTAGAGAAGTAATAGGTAACAGTACGGTACTCCAGGCGGCATAGGAACTAATGTCAACTTGCTTTGGAGGCCATGGAAAGTGAGGTGGAAGAATGCTACTGGAGGGGGAAGTCCAGGACTGAAGCAGCCACCTCACGGGGGGGGACGGGCAGGGCAGAGGCGCTGCTGGCTGGAGAGCAGCAAGCTATGGATCAAGGGGCAGAAGCAGCATTCAGCGTCCAGCACATCCCATGGAAAGCATTGCTATGGAGAGGTTAGACAATGAAGTCACCTCCACAGGACTGTCAAAACACATGAAAGCCTGTTACACAGAAGAAACTAAGTTTTAGTTCTCATCCTTCTAGATTTTGGGGTGCAAGAGTGAGTGAAACAGGTGAAAGAGGACGACATCACTCCCCTTCCCAGCAGCTCCCACCGGCCCACTCCTGAGTCGGGAGAGAAGGCTGGCAGGACGGATCGGCGCTCCTCTGCGTGTCCAACGGCCTTTCGGCCATTGAGTAGTTTATCCTCTCTACCCCAAACACAGCACTCTGAATTAGGAAAAGGAAAATAAAAGGCTTGTTCCATCTCTACTGGTTCTACAAATATTTTGAAATTTTATGTTCTCACAAGTGGAAATCAGAGTTTCACCTCAGAGCTTTGTTTCACTCAGCAGCCTCAGACATCAAAACCCTCTTCTCGGAAGGGAACCGAAACACAAATGCCATAAAAGAATTCTACACAGCATAGGAATTCTACACAGGATATAGTCTATTTTTTCAGCATTTTGACAACCATAGTTCGATGACTTTTACAGTGTTTTGAAGGTACCTAGTATCTGAAAGTGACATCTGAATGGAAAATTATATTCAGTAAAAGCAAAGTTAAAACCTTTTTCAATAAAGCAATCTGTCCTCTGGCCTAGGTAAACTACAGTGTTGTTGCACTCAAATAATACCTCAGATGTGGTTTCCCCCAAATTATTAGCCAAATCGGTCTCTCTAACTAAACACTTCCCCCAACTTTCAAGATGACCAAACACAGTCATCAAGTTTGGGATAATCCTAAATATTCTCTCATTTGGGAAATAACCCACTTTATAACAAGAGCAGCAGAGAACTGTTCAAATACAGGACTTTATTTTTTATTAATAAAGTAAATCATTATCATTAAAAAAAAAACACTGAAAAATGTTCAGACTTCATGTGAATGTAGGTTAGGCCATTCAAATGACAAAGCAGAGAGTTAACATTAAGTTATGGTCCAGGATGATGCTTATGAGAACAAATACAAGACCTGTTGTCCTTGGTAAGTAAAGCAACCAAAGTAAACTGCATTTCAGATGTTTATATAAAAACACATTAAAGATCACTTTAAAATAGTGTCCACCTTTTCTTTTAAAAGGGCATAGAGTCATCTGATAATCATGTACAAATATAATAAACTTGTCTAATAGCTTTCTTTTAATACAAATATAATCCTTACTTATTTATGCAACCTGACAAAGCAATATAAAGTGACGTCATTAGAAAAATACGGACCTTTCTGAATCTATATTGCATTTTTAATTTAAATTGGAAAATACAACTTAGATCATATGAAACAATGGATTTCAGATTATTAGATATTATCTTTATTTTGGCTGAAATGCAAAAATATGATTAGTTTCTTAACAGATTAGTTAAAAATACTTTCCACTGATAGCAGTGCTAGTCCTACAGCAAAATTTAAGTCAAACACATTTGTAAGTCACTGTCTATTTAGTGCCCCAAATACACAGATCTTAACACTCAGCCCTCAGTACACATCTGCACTACAGATTACTGAATGGGCTTCTCACATGTCTGGTAATCTTTACTTTTTCACTCCTGTAAACATAGTCAAAATCTGCTTTCTGGAAATAAAATTCAAGTAATCATTGCATATCTGACTGAAGCTAACCTTATGATTAAGTTCACTTATGACACCTGGGATAATAACTGCTAAATATGTAAAAATATTTAAAAAATTATTCATATGTAAAGAGGAAACTAAACCTTGTAAACGTGTTCATGTTTAATAACTACTACCCTGCAGCTGCTCTTTGGTTTGGCCTAGTGCTGCTGGTAAGATGACTTAGGTACTAAATATTCAAGTAAGCCTGTACCCAGGTAAAACCAAGTCTCCTAATTTGTTTTTAATGGCAGTTGGCAAGACCTCAAATTCAGCTTTACTTTCCTTAAGTATCATCACAACTGTTCAAAGTGTTTGAAGGACCAGAGATAGTACTAAGAAATTCTGACAGGGCTTCAATTTGACCTTTGTCCCTGGAGAGTTGATAGCACTAATCAATACCAGTTGAAATACCAAAGAGCCAGCCTTTCCCTGATTCCTAAACTACCTGTAGGCTCTTGTGGAATGGTTATTAATAGATATGAAAAACTCAGTCAAATATTATTTAGAACGTGGCAAAGTATAGGCCATAAAGTAAGCCAAACGTAACTAAAAAGGCTTTAACTGAAAATTTTTGAAAAGGTTTTACTATGTTATTAAAGATGTTAAATAACAGAAATTTAAAGTACTGAGAAAGATTATACCACAAAAATGCCTGAGTAGGTTAAAGGGGAAAGTTATGCTTTCTCAGCTGTTAATCAGGAGCATGCAAATCCTTTGATCTAAATGTAAAAACACTCAAAAAAAAGTACCAAGATAACATTTCTGAAAGTAATAAAGTGAGTTTAAACATTTACTATTTCCTTTTAATACACAAACTGTCACAATGAATGTTTTTGGTTGGTATTGATAACCCTTAACTCTCATACTTAAAGGTTTTGTTATTAAGACTATGGAGTTGAAATAAAGGTAGAAGAATCCATATTATAGTATTCCAAACTCTATTTTCAAAGCTAACTTATTCCTTTGGCTCAAAAGGGGGAAATGTTACTTCCTCTTAAACTCTAGTATTAATTACAGCCAATGGAATTAGACAAATCCTATAAATTGAAAACCTGGAACATCTGACTATAAGACTTATGCTACATTAAGAAGTTACAGAGCTATCCCAAGTATACTGTTTGGTATACAGAAGGTACCAAAAGTATTTATTGGTTGAGTGAAAAGTGAGGTTATTTTCAAAATTAGGAATCAAAGAATATTAGAGGTCACCCAGTCCAGCTCCTGTATAACACCTGTCCCCTAATCCCATTTTACAAATAGAGAAACTACAGTTATTAATACAGATGCTGGTTAAGATTGATCTCTACTATCAGAAGCAATGAATCACTGGTTTATGGGTGAATGTAACTAAAACACTGTAAAGGAGGAGTCACATTTCTACATATCTCCTTTATAGGATACTGTATTTTTCTTAGGAATTTATGCAATTCCTGTCACCTCGATTGGATTTCAAAAGGAAAAAGGGGCTATGTGTTTAGGGGTTGCTGGTTAGGAAATCAGATTTAAAATTTTGCATTTAAGAGTGGAATCCACTGCTCAGAGACTCTTTTAAAAGACTGCTCAGGTTAGAATGTCTTTCCTGAAAACAGTAATAATACTGTTTAGCATTAGCAGTTTTAAACAGTTTTAAGTTTCACCCCAGCTCCAACTGCATTTTAGGTCACTGTTTAAGCTGTGAAAGGATTACTATAAGAAGCTGTAAAGTAAATCTAGTTATTACCTAAATTAAAATCTGAAAGTCAACTCAACAGCTTGCTGCAGTCTAAATAATTTAAGACTGAAATATTTTTTAACAGCTTACAACAGCCTGCCTATTTTTCTCTTTACCTTTCTTCTAGCCACTTCCACCTATTCCTATTGCGTCCGATATTTCTGTAGCTCATGTACATTTGTATTTCCTTCCCAAATACCCATGAAAACTCAACAAAATAGTAATTTAAAAGCAAAAAATATTTCCTACATTGCCAAGTGTCCTTTTAAGCCTTGCACACAACCCTACAGTACATGGTTGTATTAATGCTTAGACCTGAGCCATCAATGAATCATACAAATGTGCGCTATATTTTAAATGATTACATTTAGATATCTGAATTCTTCTGTTATTTTATGGCCAATAATAAAAATGCTTCATTAAAAATGTTGAAAACTATAGAACAGCAATCATATTAGCAAACACCCAGTTAAAAAATGCAGTTGTCAGGAAGAACTTTTCTTTTCCTTACACAGTACATGTAATGGTCACCTGGATATTACTCTTCGCTCTCAGCCACCATACTGCACTCCATGTGCTTCACTTTAGTCCTTAGCTTGTGTTTTTGGAGTGAAGTTAAATGGACACCAAGAAACAACTCTAGTAATATAACTCAAATATCAAAAAAATACATATGCCACAGTTAACATATGGTCTGATATCTCATGTTACAGCGTCTCATACAGTGTAAGTGTTTTCCAAAGTGCAATCAAGTTTCTTGTGTTACTGGAGGTCAATGTAGCACAAACGGGCTTCTTTAGGATTAAGGCATCTTCCTGCTTGGGAGAGGTGCTTCTGCTGGTCCAGCCATCTGTACAAAGGCTTCCTTTTTTAAAAAATATATCTTCTTTTATACTTCAATCATTTCATTTCATTGACCATTTTCTTGCAAATAAAACTAAAAATATCGGTCCATAATATGCTTTTATAAACCTATAAAGCAGAAACAATTGAGTTGTTGGTTAAAATTTGATTTTATATTTCTGAAAACAAGATTTATTAAATGGCTCTGTGTGCTAAGGTATGAGCTACTATTATAAAAAAAACAGGAAATAAATGTTTTAATACCATCAATATTATGGTAATGATAAAGATTTTTATAAATAGTAAATAAGGGTTCTCAATGACTTTCTTCTGAATCGAGAGAACATTTTTCAAGAGGAAGATTCTTATATCTCCTTTCCTGTTCAGGTGAATATAATCTGAGAAGAAATCCTGTCCATGCCTCTCTAAGACCACTACAGGATGTGGGAAGCGCCGCAGCAATGCCTGTAGGTTGCTGAGGATTGTCAACAACCACAAGCATGGCCATGATTCAGCCCATATTCAGAAGAAACATCTGACCCAGGACAGAGGAACTGTGTGTGCGGACCCCTGGCTCAGCACAGCCACAGTTCTGGGTGGCACTGACCATACGCACGGTCAGGTGTCCACTTGCTGTGGCCAACAGGAGCCCACCTGAGTGCCTGGGGCTGATTCCCTCTAGGCCTTGGGCTCTGCTATAACTCCCAAACTGCTCTCCTGACTGAGGCTCCAGATGAGAATCCTTAGAAAGAAATGAACTCCTAACAGAGAGAAACTGAGATACTAAATATGTGTTGCCTTAGGCTGCTAAGTGTGGTTATTCGTTCTGTAGCAACAGCGACCAGTGCCCACCAAAAGTAGGCTTCAAAAAAAAACAGCAGCACAAGATGCTGCCGAGCCATGGTGCTCAGCTCCTGACTTCGGCATACACAGCTGTCTTTGCCGTCTTTAGGCATCAGGACAGGGAGCTCACTATATGGCCTGCAGGTCCACGCAGCTGTTAACACTACCTGCGTCGCTGGTGCTGGTGTTTACACTGGTCTACCTGGGGGGTTTCCTATGCTGTTACATTGATCTCCTCAAGCCCGTCTCTCTGCACACAGAGGAAGACCAGTTATACTTGGCTACATGCAACTGCTCGTCTGCTTAGTCTTCCAGAAACTAAGTAACATCAACACCCTCTTGTCTTTTTTCAGTCTTTTAGTTACTCTTTTCTGGATCAAATTTCCTCAACAATGAACAAAAGCACTGTTTTTTCTTAAACTAATTAATAAGATAATGTTTACTGAAAGGTTAGTTGTCTATATACCAACCCTAAACAATTTTTATTAGTTTCTTCATTAATGGACCAATAAATATTTACTAGGATTATGCTGGGAGTGGTAAAGAATGTGATGTAGGCAGATGGTGTACTCTAATCTCTCTGGAACTACCTGATTTTGCTAATATAATTTAAATAGTTAAAAAAAAAATTGAATTGCAAATTGTTGAGATGAAATAAGCAAATAAACCACATCTGTTCAAGGAAATTACCTTTTTACTGTCTTACCTTGTTCTTATTCAAATGGTTAGTTATGAACAAGTGGTACTCAATTTTCTATTGCCACTGTAACATGGTTATTTGTCCCTGTAAGCACATAATTGTATATGACATGACAAAAAAAGTGTTAAGTTTCTGGCTAAATGGTAAAATTGATGATTACAGTAAAAGCAACTCTTATGTAAGCACTAAATAGGCTTACGGTGTCAACCATTTGTCTTCTTGTAGAACCCTGCAGTAAGTAAAGCAGTGCTAAGAGCTGAAAGTCTAGTTTTATGCAGTTATTATAAAAATATCCACTGCTTTTTAAAGATAACTCGGCATCAATAATTAAGAAATCCATGAAAATAAGTTTTCCCTTGATTTTATACAAGGGGGTCTAATGATTCTAATGAAGGTCTTAATGATACTAACTTAAGAGAATAATGTAAATGCTGCTAAAAGCCAAAAAAATAAAACAAACAAAAAAAAACAACCCTAGAAATTCTGACAGCAGGTTTTCAAGTTTTAGGGGTATTTCCTAGAGTTACTACAAACTGACCTGATTATCTAAACCATTTGCCACAGTGCAAGCAGATAATGACAATGTTGTTACTATTAAGAACAACCATAAATATATTTTAGGCTATAATACTAATAAATGGCCATACTATATTATAAACCCAGGTCTGATTCAAAAGTATACTTCTATGTTATCAATTATTTTATAATGTATCCATAAAATTCATGAAATGTTTAAGAACCATCAAAAAAGGCTGAAATATATCCAGTGAACTCTTTATGCTAAGGCAGCAAAGAATACAATGCATTCAAAAATTAATTTCAAATAGGCAAAAGCTAGGACTGTAAAGAATAACCTTGCTTAAAGATTATACAGAATAGCCAGTGCCAAAAGAACTTTCTACATCTGAGTAAGAAATATGTGGCTGGGTAACAGAAAAAAAACCCCCAACTGTGATCAAGTGTAGAGCAGCAGCCTCTACACTTCCTCACTCAACTCCTTCTCCATAAAGGCTACCAATGAACAGAAACACCCCATATATAAGATACTTTATTAAAGTTGCACATATTTTAGTGTTTTAAAGTATCACGTTGAAAAAAAAATATCACATTGATTTTTCCACATTTATTAAACCTGGTGATTTTCATTCTAACCAGATGAAGCAATGCGTTCAGATGACAGGCATTACCTGATCTGACAATGCCTTCCTCAGATCCATTCTCTATCCAATGAGATTCACTGTCCAACAATCGGTTTTTTGATTCACTAAGTGGTTTGATAGGAAAGGGTTGATTTGAGCTGATACTGAAAAGAAAAACAAATAATTTAGCAAATTAGTTTAGTTTAATGCTCAATTAAGGGTGCTTAATTAATAAGCAGCAAATTAGTATTCCTTCTCCTAAATATGTGAGGGTAACTTATGAGATGTCAGCACTCTGAAATTAAACTCTACCTTCAAAAGAAAAATACGCCCCCGCCCCTCAGCGAATGGCCTCTAAACGCGAGTCTGTACTCCACCACTGACAATGAAACAATCAGACAAAAGAAAAAGCTTCAGAAGCCAGTCTGAATGTTGTTAACATAGGTTAATCGAGAGCTGCAAGGTAGCACAAGGACAGGTGAGGATCTGTGTCTGTGGCCAGGACAAAAAAATTACCTGTCATTTCCCAAGTTTTCTGCTTTCTACCTCTGCAGTTTAGATCTAAGGGGAAAAAATGATTTAGTGATTTAGCGTAGACTTATTCTTTTAGCCAAGAGATCCGGGGATGGAGGAATGGAAGAGGGAGGGAATGGAGGAATGAGAGGAGGAGGCACAGGGAACTAATATTTCTTGTGCACCTACTCTGGGCCAGACACTGTGCTAGGGCTTGACATACACTCTTTCAACCTTCACAATAACACTCGTAGGTAGATATGATTTATCCTCATTTCTATAGAGCTGGAAAAGGAGACTCAGATAGTTTAAGTGACTTGTGCAGATCCACAATAAATGTTAGAGCTCTAAGGCCTATGTTCTTTTGATAATTAATATGCCAGCTTGGAATTTATAATCTCTTCTCCCCCACAGTTTATTTTTGTAGCAAATAACTTTCAACTGTTTCACTTTAATAGAAGTGTCTCTTCTTTAAAATTTTATTTAAAATGAACTATTTCTCTGAAATTATTAATCAGTTTGCTTATCATGCAAATTACTGAGAAAATAACCCTTAAGATGAATGAATGAAAAAAATTTTATATTTGTATTTCTGAAATCTTCACTAATATTATTTTCACAATGCAGTTAAAATCTTTTTACCAAAATAGAATAGTGACAAGTGAAACGACTGATTTCTTTGAAAAAAATATAACTGATATAAACTAATAAATCAACTCTTAGAAGAATGTCTTCATTTCTTGGAAGATGCTGCACGCTTAGGATAGCTGTGCTGCCTGGTGTGCCCAGACATTTCCAGTTATACATGATTATCCTGGTCCGACTATCAATAGAAGACGTTATCTTTCTTACTTTCAAAAACCTGCTGGTTTGGAAAAAAATATAGTTATCCTAAGCATATTAGGTTCACACACAAATTAGCCTTCAGTTAAAAAAATGTAAATAGAATTTCTCTTTCCCTTTTTATACTGGCTTACTGAGATACTATTGTATTTATCTATATGTATGTGTCTCTCTCTCACACACACACACACACACGCACACACACACACATACAGTTTGCTTTATTATGAATACTGAAGAACTTAATGGCAAGAAACATACCTTCTGGCACATTCATTTTGACTTGTAACAGAAGCTCGCTCTGGATCCGTCCCTACCAGGCGAGCTGGAAAACTGCAACCATCACCCAAGCTGCATAATGAAAAATATCAGTAATAATTTAAATTATATTAAGTTAAATAAAAGCAGTCAAATTTAATACTCTTTTTTCAGAGGTGGTATAGTATAAAGAAATGGTCACAATTTGTCATTTCAGAAAAATTCCTAAGATTTCTCATTTAGAGGGTTATTAGTATCATTGAAGAAATAAGCCTTTTTCTTTTACAATTCACATTTATTTAAAAACAGTATCTTCCAAGGTATTCAGATTATAATGGCTCTTTTAAGATTATGATGTCTCAAACATAGGGATTCAAATATTTGGGCAACGAATCCACTCATCACAATCATTTAAGACATCATAAAGGCTCAAATTGAAATTCAAGGTCTAAGTCCCACACACATTCATTCATCCAATAACATTCCTTAAACAAATACTTATTGAATACCTATGATGTTGTGAGTACTATTTTATATGCTAGGCATACAGCATTAAATAAAAGAGAAGAAAATCTCTGCCTTCAAGATTTTTACAATCCACACAGTATAGATATGCCTTACTTTTGCATTCTAAAACAAATCAAAATTGTGTACAACAGGAACTTTCACTTATAGCCAAGATGGACTAACCAGGAAATTTAACCTTCTCTCATAAACAACCAGAAAACTGAACAGTGTAGAGAGTAACTTTTCCAAACAGGCAGCACAGAAGGTCTCTGAAAGATAAGGAAGTGACCAAGTGAGTGCCAGCTTTCTGCGGGCACCTGGGCACCAGGAGGGGAGGCAAGCAGGGCCAGAAAGTCTCCCTTAAGGAGAGATAACAGAGATGAGCATTTTAAGAAGCTGAGGTATCTTGAATCTACTGCACAGAGTGGAGGAAGAGGAAGATATGGAAAAACAAGGCTACAGAAACCTGCATAGCATTTTGCCTGAATCTTCTGATGAGTAGTTAGCTACACATGTGAATCTGAGAAAAGAAAAACTGTGAAATTTAACAGTTCACAGAGCTCCCACAGCACTAAGGGGGCATTCAGGTTTGACTAGCTGGAGCAGAGATCTCACTGAACACTTGGATTCGGTAGAGACCCCAACAGGCTCCTACCTTTGTTGTATGGCTAAACTTGACCTAGAGAAAAATGCTACCTTAGACCCAATTTAGTGAAAGTTTAAAATAAGCCTCAAAAGTACCAAGCTGAAACATAAGTGTCTGCAAAAAGAAAATTCAACATTCTTTAAAGGGAGACAAGATTTAAATACTAAGAGTTCAAAATGTCCACCATCCAATCAAAAATTACGAGCATGAAAGTAGCAGGAAAATGTGATCCACAACTAAGCAAAAAACAGTAGGGAAGAGAAAGGACTGTAAAAAACTTGAAACAAGGACTTTAAAACAGTGATTATAAACATGTCTGTAAAAATGGAAAAATGTATATGAAAAATTAAATTTAAAATTAATATATATATAAAAAATTATATCCACTTAGGAAAAAAATGGACATAATGAAAATAAAATGTAATACATAAAAAAAGAACAAAACTGAACTTTTAGAGCTGACTGGATGAGCTTATCAGTAGAATAGACATGACAGAAGAAAAGATAAGTAACCTGCCTGACATAGCAACAGAAACTATCCAAACTGAAGCAAAGAGAGAGAAAAGATAGGGGTGGGTGTGAAAGGGGAATCGGTGCAGCAATGCTGGGTGGGTCACAACCAAGCAATTTAATGCACGTACATTTAAGAGTACCCAAAGGGCTAGAGAGGGAGGGCACAGGAAGAGTGGGAGAAGGCAAAAAAAAAAAAAAAAAAAAACCCCACAAAAAACAAAAACTGAAGACAAATAAATGATGAAAAGTATAAGTTCATGGATCCAGGAAGCCTAATGAAGCCGGCCGGGGTGGATATACCTAATGAAAACCATACCAAGTTACATCAACAAAGTGCTTAAAACCAGTGATAAAGATAAAATCCTAAAAGTAGCCAAAGGGAAAAAAACCAGTAATTTACGAACAGTAAAATAGAGGTAAGAGTGATGCTGACTTCTTGTCACAAATAGTACAAGCTAGAATATAAGGAAACATCTTTTAAAAAAGGAGGGGAAAACCCCATCAATGTTGAAATCTCTGTTTAGATAAAATAACCTAAAAAAAAAGGTTTGTGTTCCAACCAGAGTGGAAAATCCTTGTAATACAGTAAACAATAGGTAAGGTAAAAAGAAGAGATCCATGCACTTAGCAATAGGATCAATACAAATGAAATAGAGAAAAACCTGAACAAAAAATGGGTGGTGCATCAGTGACACGAGGTAGAAATTCGAGTGGACAAACATACATGTAACTGGAGTCCCTGCAGTGATGAGGGGAAGGAATGACAGAAATATTTGAAGAAATAATAAAGCATTTTCCAAAGCTGATGACAGTTGTAAAATCACAGATCTAAGCTCAACCAAATCTAAGAACAAGAAACAACAAGAAAACTATACCAAACATCAAAATCAAATTGTGTGACTGTAGTGATAAACAGGAAAATCTTAAAAGCAACCAGAGAAAAAAGACACACCACAGATACACTAAAAAAAGTTTAAGAGTAACCATAAACTTTTCATCAGAAAAACTTCAAGCCAGAAGACAGTGACGCAGTATCTAGAATTCAGACCAGATGATAGACAATACAATTAATGAAGGGAAAACCTTACAATACTTACAAATATTTGGCTTGAATTTCAAATATTTTTTCCTTTTCTATAATGATTGGTATATAGATGGCCTAAGATGGCTGGGAATTTGGGAGGAAAGGAAACTATGAATCATCTGGAACATGTATTTTCATTTACATCTGAGGCAAAAATTACATTATGTGTTGGGTCTTCTTTAAGACGACAGAATACATAATCTGTGATATAATCTTTGAAGATAAAGATAGTAAATATGAATTCTTAAAATTCTCTACTTCAAGTTGTTTTTATTTTGAGGGAAAAAGTGATTCCTATTTTTTTAATCTCATTTTTATTAATTAATAAAATGATTATTAATTATCTTTTTTCTCCTTTCCACTCAATTAAAGACCCAAATTCTCCTTTACCTTATCTAATAAAAAACATGAAAAAAAATACTTCATATAATCAAGATATTCTGAGTTCCCATTCTCAAGACTCAAGAATGTCATTTATATATTGTAGTCTCTGAATCTTAAGACATTTTAACCAGAGAGAGAGAGACTATCACAGATTCTGTAATTTTTGAGACCTGCATTTTATGTTACCTTGAAAATATTGGAAGTAGCCAATATTTCTTTTCATCGCCAAAGACTTGTCTCCAATTTTTACTGTATCCAAGAGAGAAACCATTTCCATCAGGTCCATATGAAAATGTGGGTGCACGGAATGATTCTGTTATATGTATATATACATAAAAAAAAGTTATTCTATGTAAAAATTACAGGAGGGATGGAAAGCACAAAGATATCAAAAGCTGTAATTTAAAATAAATATAACATTAAAAATATAAATTTCTGAAGCTTATTTGGGAAAAAATATCACCTCTCAATATTTCATCATCCTTATAAAATCAACATGTCAAAATAATTAATAATACTGAAAATCTACTGACGTATGTTCAATATATCTTACTTTTTTTCTTTTTAAAGATTTTCTAACTCTTGCAACTTCATTTATTCATTACTTATTTCCTACTCTTTGCCTTATGGTACAGTACCAGGTGTCTGGGATCAAAAGATAAATCAGATGAAATTCTTAGCAAAGAGTGCAGTCTAACAAAGTCTAACAAAATACAGCGGCATAGATATGTGTGCACTAGGGTAGGGGGGAGGGTAAGATGTGGAGGAGGGGAGACCTGAGAATGATCCTGAAGAATGAACAACGGGCAAGGAGCAGATGGTGCTCAGAAGCCACAACTTCAAGCTGGGTTATAAAGTGATATAGAGTGAAGGCTGGAGAAACAAGTTTCATAAGAAAAGGGTTTTTTCTTTATTTAAAAATAGAATGCATTTCAGCATGTTTTATGAACTAAGGATAGGAAAAAACCAGGGAGAGATTGATTGGGAAAGGTTGATGATACAGAAAAGTAAAGTAAAAATGCATGGAAGAAAATTCTAGAAGAAATGGGACAGCCTCTAGAAGAGCTCTGAAGATTAACCTTAGATACCAGAAAAGACATATTGTCCTCAGAAGTTAAAGGGAGGGGAGTGATGGCCTTGAAAGTAGCAATGTTTGTGTGGGGTCATAAAGGTGGGAAGGTAAGAATTCACTTGTGATTAACTTCTAATTGTTCTGTGAAGGGCTCACAAAATGGGACAGGAAATTAGAGAGAATAGTGAAAATCTGGAAATACTGTTGTGGGTAATAAGGTGACAAACCTGATCAGAAACACATGACATCCTTGCCAAACAAAGCTGAGGGCCTCGGTGGGGTCTGAGACTCTGTAGCTGCAACAATCTCACTGTAGTGAGAGGGCCTTCCCCAGCTCCCAACAGCCCCTGGGGCACACATGTCGAATGAACAGCTGCAAAAAGCCAGGCCCTGGACCAGCAGGTAATTATGGGGAAAGCCTAGGAGCAGGCGTTACGTGAGGGTGCTGTCAAGAGTTGCTGAGGTCATTTGTTTAGGATCAAGAATGGAAAAGGGTGAGTGGGAAATGGAACCAGAAGGGCAAGAAATACTGGGGAGAAAAGTGCTGCAGAATGGACTCATAATTTAAACAGCAGAGCACAAGGAAGGGAGAGCTGGGAGGGGAGCGCCTGTGCTCAGAGAATGGAAAGTTCAAGTTGAAAATCTCAGGGGCTTTTCAGTTAAGAGAAAAAAACCTTCAATGTTTAGTTCTGTGAATCACGGGCACTAGCTTGCCTCTTTGGGATGATGGCAGTAGTATGGTTACAGAAATTATACCTGAGGGGAAATGATCTCAAAGTAGGTATGTGATAGCTATGAAGAAGGGCAGAGATGATATCTCAAAGACAGAAAAACAAAAACCTGGAAGTAGCAATGTAGAACTAGCCAGAGACCAAGGGTGTGGAAGGTGAGGCTGTAAAGGAAGTAATGTGCTAGGGTAATGTTTTCTCAAAGTGAGTTAGAACACCTTGATAGCCTGCAAAGTGAGTGCAGTGGTTTGCAATTCAGCATTTCCTTTTAAGTAACGGGAACAGAAGATATCAAAAGAGATTAATGATGTTTTGTGGAAGTTCTCTCTATTTTACTTATTAAACTTCATAAATATGTGTACATGCACTAGGTTGTGACATAAAATGGTGCATTTCTTCTGCAGTCACTGGCAAAAAAGTTTGAAAAAGACTGTTTAAAGAGAACAACAGGTTTCTGAGAAGAATTCATGTCTCAAATGCCTACAGGGGTGGGTAAGAAATAGTGAAGCAAGCCTAGCAGAGTTGCAGCACATTAAAGGTGAAGTTCAGCCCATCTAAGCTGGCAGCGACTAATTAGCTCAAATAGATACCATGTGATGCCACATGGGACAATGGGCCCCGTGTACCAGATTTGTCAATTTTAAAGAGAAGAAATATACTTTTCTTTGTGAAATCTCTGTTTTTAGCTGTTGTGGGAAGTCTTAAGGGCTAGATTTTCATGTAGGCTGACTTTTATCATCTCTGATTAAAGGTAAGGAGATGGCAGGATATTCTGTGAAGAAATTAATAGATATGAGATTTATCTACGTAAGAAAGGGATGAAGGTGTGATGGAACTGGAGAACTCAGCAGTGGACAGTGAGCTGGGAAGAAAGGGCACAGAAATCCCTACCTGGGAAGCCCATCATACCTTATATGACTCAGTAAGACACAGGATTAAAATGATTCAAATACCAAAATAGCTTAGAGTCTCCTGAAAACCTCTTCATCTTCTTACATTAAATCAGTCCCTTTCCAATTCTCCTGGAGGCACCTGACTTTAGATGGCAGGGAGTCTAACTTTCTTACATATAATGCGACAAATCCCTATTTTGTATCTTGGTATGTTAGCTGATACCTAAATCTTTAAATTGTAGCACAGTGGTGCTGCTGACATACTAATAGGTCAATTTTGGCACACCACCCTTGTTTGAGAAATGTTTGTCCAATTATGTGATCACCTTACTGAATTCTTCCTGTACATTTGCACTTTTAAAAATGAGCAAAGGAAGTAAATGCTGATAGTAGAGACAAAATATGTAAGTTTCACTGTCAACTGACACAAAGATGGAAAAGATAAGCCAAGTCAAAAACACTATTCCTTAGCTTCAGTCAAGTGTGTAATCAACTGGGGGGAGAAAGTAAAGAATGCATGTTTTAGCTAAATGATAAGCTGCAATTAAGGATTTATTTTTTTGCATTGTGAGAATAAACCTTATAACATGTATTTCCTATCTTTTACAGACTAATTTTTTAAAAGACACTATAAATGGAGGAAACTGCTTTTGTTAAAACTTATAACATATAGTCAGTACTCTAATAATGAACTATTAAAAATACATATAGATGTGAATCTCATTTCCTCAACCTTTACATTCATCATATAGCCACTGTTCCTATCCAGTCAGTTAATTTTTTTTTATTAAGGTATCATTGATATACAATCTTATGCTAAGGTTTACTACATTCCCCCTTTATCAAATCCCCCCCAACACCCCACTGCAGTCACTGTCCATCAGTGTAGTAAGATGCCACAGTCACTACTTGTCTTCTCTGTGCTACATACTTGAGTCACAGTTAATTTTAATACAGAATTATTTCACACTTCTTTGTTACTAGACCATTGTCCTTTTCTAGATTTCATGTTAATTTGTGGTTATCTTCCTAAATAATGGTGATTTATTTTAACTTGTTTACCTATTGTTGTTCTGTTTCTTCCAACTAGCCAGCAGTGGTAGCTGAAAAGTGACAGGACGCTGACGAAGAACATCGCAGACACAAAGAAAAGAAACAGTATGTGGAATTTTGCACGTGTGTCTGAGAGTTCATTCTGAGGAAAGAAAAAAGAAGAGTTCATTTTGGAGGTGGTCATCCTCTAAAATATACTCGTTATCTCGTTCCTCCTAAAGACGGATGAATCTACCAAAAAATTCACCAGATATGAATAAAAGTGAATTAGATAACATATCCCAAAGCACCATCCCCAAAACAGAAAACTGGTGCAATCAACAGAGCTTGCTTATATAAATGGTCAGTCATTTTTAAAAATTGCTCTTAAATATTTAAAAGTCTAGCATTACTAGATGGACTTTTTTAACCTAACATTGTTCTTTTGTACTTTGTGCAAATACTTGTAAGTTTTTTCCAAAATCCAGGGCATACGAGAGTTCCCCCATCTATGCTAAAATATGTGCTTATTTTAATTACATATGCTAACCAGACACTATGATGAATTTTAGGTTTGTTTTTGTGCTGCTCTAGTCTCTGTTTTTGGAACACTACAGCAAATAAGTCTTTGCACTCAGCTGCTCGATTCCTACTTTTTCTCCTTGCTCCAATCCTGTAGAACATTTCTAGGTTATTAGCAATTTTGGTAAATAAGTTTACTACAATTAGTGATTGAAAACAGATTCTCTGCTACCCATTCTTATGGCTATATTCATTTTACCAGAATCAAAAGCCTTAATCTAGAAGAAATTAGTATCTATTAACAGGGGAAGGAGAAAGCCTTTAAGTATTAGCTCTTAAAATAAAATCATGGACTCCACTAGAATGTGAGGTGATTCTGCTTCACTTAAACACTGTTTTAGAGGCTAACAGGAAAGTTTTTAGCATTAGGTTATTGTGACATTTATTTTTTCTCTTCTCTCCTAGTAACCACAATTTTTTTTCTTTATAACTTAGCTAAATTTTAATTACACAAAATTAAAATGAAAATTCCTCTTAATACCACTGCGATCATATTAAAGTATATGGACCCACCATATCTGGCTAATGTCATTTATCTTGTTTCATCCTTCTTGTGATGTCACAATGGAAACAGGTTGGCACCACCTTGAAACACCATTCTCAAAACTAACAGTCAGTAATATTGTCTTTACCTAAGTAGGTTATTTCAAGTGAAATCTAGAATGTACCAAAATAGAAAACAGGAGTTTGACACTTGGAGCACAAATAGGCTTCTGCACACAAAGGTAACATAGGGCTTGGGAATGATTCTCAATTCTAACTCCTTCTTTGGGGCCTAACAAAAGTTCTAATTTAAAATTCCTCACCAAGCATTATAGATTTTTCCTCCTTACATAGGAAATAGACTAACAAAAATTAAGGTTTTTACTGCATTTATCTCTAAGTGAGAAATGGAACTTTTTAAAAGCTACTTTCAGCTTAGAAAATCATAGGTCTAAAAAATTTTTTTGAGGTACATACAATAAAATGAGGTACATTAGCTAAGATACCATTCTTCTAATGTTTTATAGGTGAAACTATTTCACTCATGCCCCCAACTCCCTCCCTTCCAGCAACCACCAGTCTGTCCTGAGTCTACTTCAGTTTTGTTTGTTTTTGTTTTTAGATTCCACATGTAAATGCAATCATACAGTATTAGTCTTTCCATGTCTGACTTATTTCACTGAGCACAATACCCTTGTAGGTCTATCCATGTTGTCGCAAATGGCAAGCTTTCTTCTATTTTATGGCTGAGTAATTTCACTGTATATATGTACCACTCTTTATTATCCATTCATCTGTATTGATGAACATTTAGGATATTATCCATTTAAAATTCCTTTTAAACACATCAAGTGATTCTTCTATCTCCCCATCTTGTGAAGCAAATTACTATCATACATATTCACTGTAAATGTCACAAAAGAGATGACAAGAATGTCATGCCAATAATATATTTTACCTTTGGACAACTCTCTGTAGATTTCCTGTGGCAAAGCTTGTACAAATAGAGACAAATATTAAGACACCAAATTGTATACAAAATTATCCTGAACACTAGTTCTATAAACCCTTTATTTCTGAAAGAACACTAACACTTGCTTTTTAAAGGTCAACAACATTTTCTCAAGAACCAAAAAAGAGAGAGCAGGCAAGAACATTTAAGCTCTTCAAGCACATTTCAGGTATACTTAAAATACATGTTTCCACTCAATTTTTAGAGGAGAGATTTGTATACCTAGAAAAGAATAAAATTAATTTTTTTTAGCAAATAGCTTTTAAAAAGAAAAAACTTCTGATAAGTAGTTTCTAAAAACTGGCCCTGACAACTTCCCTCCCACGTCTGCGGCTACTGCAGCAGCCTTCCAGGGGCACTGCCGCGGGCCCCTCCCCACCCAGCCTCAGCCAGCAGCCGGGCCAAGTCGGAGCAGTCACCCTCAGCTCCATCCGCTCCTGCCAAGGCTCTTTATCATTTAGGCCCTGCTCCTGGACTTCCCGTTGTCCTCTCACTTACTCTACTCCAGCCACCACACCTCCTTGCTGTTACTCAAACATGGTAGGGACATTCCTTCACTTTTGGGCCTTTGCTCAAAATTTCACATGCTTCTCCTAAAATGTTTCTTTCTCAGATTCCCACTGATTCTTTCAAGTCTTTGCTCAAATCTTACCTTCTTACTGAGGTCTATCATGATCACACTTTTTAAAAATTGAGATACAGCTGACATACAACA